AGCAGTTAAAGAGCCGGCATCATTGATCCACCCCACCGATGCATGGGCCAGGTTCGGATTTACTTAACAGTAAAAACAGCCAGATACTTTCCCCCGACACAGCAACTGTTACGTGCCGAACTCTGTTCAGATCGGTAGGCATTTGCAGGACAGCCAGGATTAGCTACTGCAGTTGCCGTGTGCTCATCTCTGGAAGGGGAGATTGCCCCAACAATTGGTGATCAGGATCGTATCCACCGCTTAAACGTTTTGTTTTTCTGTACTTTCCTAGTCTTCGAAAATAGCTAGCAGGCTCTATAACCAGAAAGGCCAGACAATAAGCATATAACTTAAGCTGTCGTTTATGAGACCACACAGACAGCTTTCCGAACTAAAAAAAACCTCATTATCGGAAGTTGTGTTGCCATGGTATAATATTCTGTTTGAAAAATAACTTTCACAAGCGATCGTTTTCGGTCACTTATCATCGGGCCTTTACAATGACATCGAAAATAAGGTATCTCATTGTGTACAGGGGTGATATGGTTCTTTGGGTTCGGGAAGAGGGGGTTGCTTATTCGTCTCCGTTCCCACGTCTCTTGCATGACGGAGTGAATGTTTTTAAGACTTTGGGGTTTGGAGTTCGCGGCAGGGAGGAGACGTGCTTGCGGTAGGCTGCAGTTCAGTTCTGTACGCCAAACACGCGGAGTGCGTATGATTGTTCTTTGGGGCTTGGGATGGTGTGCGATTCCCGCCTGTAGTCGGCCAAGGGAAACAAACCGCCTGTAATAAGATCTTTTGACAGCGGATAGTTTTTTAAACGAGTGGCCACTGCCTCGGCTGTGGCTAACACTTGTTTGCTAGCGCTTGGTAAACTACCTGAAGGACCTCTCTCGCGTCAACTTGGTGGTTCGTATCGATAAAGTATGTGCAAATTGAACTTCAAATCGATGGATTTTCTCCTTTGTTTGAGCAAGTCGGTATGTGTTAACGTATCCTCTTCTCCAGACGTCTCGTTATTTGTCTAATATATCCCGCTCAATAGAAGCAGGTGAATGAATAAACACACATAGATGTGGCCTACAACGGTAGTCGGTCTTTCTCCTCTGTCCGTAGGAGGAGGAGGGAGAGAGTTCGCGAAGAATACGCGCAAATTCGCCGCCGTGTTTCATATTAACGTAAAAGCCTCATGATAAGTGAGCGAAAACGACCATTTCCCAAAATTAGGTTTCAGTCGTAACACGGGAATTTTCGCAGAATTTTCTCATTTTGTGATATTGTTGCCTTTTGTTTATGGTGTTCTGAGTTTCTGGTCTCCG